GTTTGGTGGTCATTTTGAAGAGCAGCAGCCAGATTAACTTTGTCAACTTTTTTTCTTTTTTTTTTTAAGCATTATGCCCCGAGCAAGGCGTGAAGCCACTAGGATGCAGGGGGTTGCAGAAGATTTGGAGCAAGAGCAGATAGGAGTGATAGAAGAAAGGATGAGGAGAGGGATAGTGGATAGATCAAGGTAACTGAAGATGTTAATTGACATTACATTTGAATAGTTGGAGATTATAACTCTCAGGGAAACAGTAATAAGGAAGGGTGTTCCACAGGTGAGAGGTGCAAGGTATAATGCTATTGGAGTAGAAGAGACAGCTACATTTAAAAGTTTCTACAGTGAAAGGGTGAGAGTGGGATGCCAGCCTCGTAGGGCGCTTGAATTCATGAAATCTGGGAACAAGTGAAAGCAGCTCATCGGAGCAATTACCATGAAAGTATTTGTAAAAAAGACAGAGAGGCGACGGCGAATCTGTGAGAGAGCAACTGTAGACGAGATGCCAGATCAGGGCCAATTATATTACATATCCGCCTCTGGATCTTGTCAAGAACTCCGAGGTAAACAGAAGGTGCACCAGACCATATATGGCAGCAATACTCCATGCAAGGGTGAATGGTTGATTTGTATATTCGAAGTATTGATTCTTGGGAGAAAAATTTCCTGGCATGGCACAGAGAGCCAACTTTCCTCATGGTGGACGAAGTAATTGACTCAATGTATTTGTTTCATCTCAGGTCAGCAGTCAACGTGAGACCGAGCAGACGCAGAGAGTTGCTCTCAAGAAGTTGACTATCAGACATTCTAATGGGGGGCAGGGAAAGATTTCTATGGTGATTAATAGAGAGTAGTTTAGTTTTTGAGGCGTTAAAGTTGACCAGCCAATTCTTGCCCCAATTAACAACCAATTGGAGGTCCATTTCAAGACAAGCGGCACTAGATTTGGCAGGAGTAAATTGTAGTGTCGTCCACGTAGATGCCAACTTGGGAATCTATGGCGTCAGGAAGGTTATTGATGAAAATAAGGAATAGAGTGGGGCCAAGGATGGAGCCTTGGGGAACACCTGCATTCGTGGGATAGGAACTGGAGGAGAATCCGTTGAGAACGACCTTCAATTCACGGTTTGACAGGAATGATTGTATTAGGTCAAACAATTGACCTGTAATACCATAACCCTGGAGCTTGCAAAGAAGGCCGGCATGCCAAACCCTATCAAACGCTTTGGAGATGTCTAGGGCCATGGCATGAGCCTCACCATTATTTTGCAGGGCTCTGATGGATTTGCTATGGAGACAGAAGTAAATGTTTGTCATCAGCATAAATGCCTACTTGGGAGTTGATGACATCAGGGAAATCATTGATGAAGATCAGAAACAGCATAGGATCCAGGATAGAGCCTTGTGAAAGGATCTGGATGCAAGCCCATTCAAAATAACCCTCATTTCATGATTTGATAGGAACAATTGGTTTAAATTAAACACACATCCAGTAATACCATAGTCTGGAGCCAAACTCTATCAAACACCTTCAAGATATCTAGAGCCACAACCGGAACTTCACCGTTATTATCAAGAGCTTAATATACATATTCAGTGATGGCCGTTAGCACATCTGTGGTAGATCTGGCAAACCAGAATCCATATTGTGTGTCAGAGTAAGTCATAAGAGGTAAAATACTTAACCACTTCAGCATTGATTAAAGCATCAAATACTTTGCTGAAAAGTGGTAGGAGACTAATAGAACAATATTTAGAGAGGTCAGAAGGTTATCCAGAGTTCTTAAAAACAGGAACTACAGAGGAGGACTTTCAACAAGCAGGAAGCAGTGAGGCAATAGTTGTAGAGTTTGGAGAGAACTGGAGCCAGCTTGGGAGCATGTTCCTTTAGGCTCATGGCTTGGATCCTGTCTCCTCTGCTTGCCTTATGGGAGTCTAATTTAGAAATAATGTCTGAAATCTCTGGTGGGGCTATGCACATATCACTCAATAGAACCTCTGTTCTAGGAGGTAAATCAGGTGTGGATATCACATTTGTGTTGAGTGTTAAGTTGGAAGAGAATTTACAAGCATCTATCTGCTGTAGATGTCAGGACTTTGAATTGACTGAATAGAGGCAGGATGGAGGATTGGCTATTGTTCAGCACACTCTTGCAGAGACGCCAATAATCTCTAGAACCGAACTTGCAAGATGGTGTTTTACCAGCAAACAGTAACTTCACTTCTTTGAGGACACACTTGCACTCATTATGAGCAGAGACAAAGAGACATCTATCATTAGTACTTCATCAGACTAAAGTGATATTTACATTCATGTAACTACATTTACTCATGAAGGAGAGAGGATTCTGAGAATTTTAAATTAAAATTTTTTTTTGTTCTACCCACCAACTCTATTTCTAAGTTCAACATAAAATTTGTTACACCTATGTCTAAAACAATGAAAGACTTAATTAATAAAAAACAAAATAATAAGCAAAAACTTGAAGAAAGAATTTACTCTATCACCTGTAATAATTGCCACAAGGAATAAGTCGAAGAAACCTCAAATAAAAAGATTATATGAACACAAAAGACATCTTTAACAAAACAACACACTAAATGCATTAGTAGCTCACTGTAAGGATTTTGGCCATAATTTTGATTAAAAAATGCTGCTCTAATTAAAAGAGAAAGCAATATATTAATATGTGTCTAGAAAGTGCTTTAATTGCTAAATCACCACAGTAAATTTGCATCCAGGTTCTTAAAATATTTCATCATTCTTGGCAGATCTTCTATTATCATAATGTGGGATACTGAATAATAAAAATGATGAAAACATAAGCAAAAAGAGGTTGGCCAGAAAGTCCGGAATCACTTGAGAAGTGGAAAGAAGACAATAACTCTTGATCTTTGTCTGGTGGAAGTTCCAAGGAGTACTGCATATAGAGCTTGTTCCATACAGTTGCACCATCAATGCTATACTGTATTGCCAGCAGCTTGACCACATGTATGACAGACTAAAGAAGGAATATCCTGCTTTAGTCAACCAAGGTCGGGCTTTGTTTCACACTGAGAAGTTCAAATAGATGCTTGGTTTGGAGATTCTTCCACATCCACCATTCAGTCCTGTTGCTAGTCCAAGTGACTACGGCCTATTTTGCTCAATGGTACACTTCAACCATGACCATCAATTCAACACTTTTGATAATGTGAATGAAGCTTGTTGACAGATTTTTGATACAAAGTCAGTGTACTGTTATCTGGAACAGATTTGGATTCTGGCAGATCACTGGCAGAAAACCATTGAGAATAATGGACTTTATTTTGAAGAATAAATGTTGATGTTACTCCATAAAATTTTGTTGTTTTCTTTCCATTTCTTAAGTGAGTCAGGACTTTCTGGACAACTTAATATATACATATATATATTTTTGTGATTTTTTAGAGCTCTCGTGAAATAAAAATTATTACTTATGGGATTTTGATATTCTTAAATTAATAATGATTTTGCTCTGTCTTTTGACATAGAGCTCTCCCTGGATCTATATCCTCCTGGAAATTCCATATGGATTACCATATTCTATCATTAATATATATATATATATGACCTGACAATTGCATATAAGCACCACTTATATATTTCCATACACTCTCTCTCTGATATCGAGCACTTTAACCCATAAATATAGCATACCTTAAAACCATAGTTTATCATGCATACAGATTGTTTCAAAAAATGTCTATGCACTTTTAAATAGATAATAGTGGAAGTTGTCTTAAAAATATGTACATATTTATACATACATACATACATACATACATATATATATATATATATATATATATATATATATATATATATATATATATATATACTCGACTCTTCCGTCAAATTCGACATATAATGGTCAAGCAGATCAGTTCCCAGGAAACCGACAGCCTGACAACAGTGCATGAGATTTGATTATAGTGGTGAAAGTTCTGTGCAGGACCATCTACACTTTTTGAATGGCTGAATACAGAGACCTGGTGCACTATGTGCCACAAGGTCTCCAAACGGCCCTCTGCTGGTTTTGAATTCAGAGTAGTCCTTCTCCTAGACCAGTAGCCATCCAAGGCTATAGAACCTAGTATGTCCTGCTATTTACCCTTAGCTGGAAGGAGAAGAAGAGGATTCACACCTTTCCCAAGGGTATTAGTACGTAAGTGAATATAATGGATTTGAATGGAATTTGAACTCATCTCTCTGATTCCTCAATCCAAGCTACTATCTGTTAATCCACCATGCATCCTCAATATATATATAGGGATAAAATACAGATCAGAATCCAACAGAATGATAGGAAATGTTTATCAGTCTAACATGTTTCACTTTTTATTACAGCTTCATCACAGAATGACATGGGGGTGGAGAATGAAATTCTAATATTAACTCTGATTAATTTCTTTGAGTTTTAAAAGGACACATCATCTGTCTTTCAATTTGTAAAGCCATAAAATATGTTAACGTTGTTTAACAAGTCAGATGCATGTTAAGCGTGATTAACGAATGAAAATCAAACAATGCAAAAATAATAATACCAGAATTTCTTTCTTTTTTCTCCATATCTCATACTCTGATGAAGCTTTAATAAAAATTGGAATCTGTGAAAGAAAAAAAGATTATTTTGGAAGCCAAGTCCACAGGCGGAAGTAAATGTTGAAGGAAATTAAGAAATTAGACAAATAAATAAAAGGAGGGATAATTCTTTTGTTTGGCTCTTTGATTTTTTTCTTTTTAAAAAAGAACTAAAGTCAGAGCAAGTTTATACGTTTGAAACAAAAGTGTAACACGTCTACATTTTAGTTGATAGCAATCTCAGCTTGGCTTTGCTGATTTTTTTTTTTCTTTCTTCTCTGAAAGAATTTTTCCAAATGCCAGACATAATGCAAGACAAGTGTTCTGTTTTCTGTTACCAAAATATAGCATTATATTTTCTGCAATTGTTCATAGAAATATGGATGGGAGAAATGAGTAACTAAAGAAAAAGACAAGAATTGATAACTGGGGAAGAAAACCAATTTTTTTTTTCGCTAAATATCAAAGCAAGATGAAAGAAGATAGATATGAAAAGGTTGTGAGAGATCAGTGGATAAAAAGGCTAATACAGACAGACAGGTGGGATAAGAGTAATAGAAAAAATACAAAAATGGTTGGATGAAAAATCAGAGAAATAAAAAGGGAAAAAAACAATGGATAAAAATTGTCTCCATGAAGAGAGAGAAAGAAATGTGAACAGACTTAGATATAAATTGCCACTAAAATATATACACAGATTTCAATATGAACAGCCTTAGATAGATAGATAGATAGATAGATAGATAGATAGATAGGAGAAAACTGAAAAAGATAGATAGATAGGTCAAAAAAATGGAAAAAGATAGATAGATAGATAGATAGGAGAAAACTGAAAAAGATAGATAGATAGATAGATAGATAGATAGGAGAAAACTGAAATAGATAGATAGATAGATAGATAGATAGATAGGAGAAAACTTAGATAGATAGGAGAAAACTGGAATAGATAGATAGATAGGAGAAAACTGAAAAAGATAGATAGATAGATAGATAGGAGAAAACTGAAAAAGATAGATAGATAGATAGGAGAAAACTGAAAAAGATAGATAGATAGGAGAAAACTGAAATGGATAGATAGGAGAAAACTGGAATAGATAGATAGATAGGTAGGAGAAAACTTAGATAGGAGAAAACTGGGATAGATAGATAGATAGGAGAAAACTGAAAAAGATAGATAGGAGAAAACTGAAAAAGATAGATAGGAGAAAACTGAAAAAGATAGATAGATAGGAGAAAACTGAAAAAGATAGATAGATAGATAGATGGATAGATAGGAGAAAACTGGAATAGATAGATAGATAGGAGAAAACTTAGATAGATAGGAGAAAACTGGAATAGATAGATAGATAGATAGATAGATAGATAGATAGATAGATAGATAGGAGAAAACTGAAATGGATAGATAGGAGAAAACTGGAATAGATAGATAGATAGATAGATAGATAGGAGAAAACTTAGATAGATAGGAGAAAACTGAAATAGATTGATAAGAGAAAAGTGGGAAAGATTGATAGATAAGAGCAAACTGAGAGAGATAATGAACAACCTGTGATATGAACAGAGTGAGATAGATATGGAAAGTGACTTAGATAGAATATGATATAAATATATATAAACAAACTTAGACAAGAATAGGCAAAAATATACTTGAATAGCTTCAGATAGATATAAAGAGACTTACATATAAATTGCCCTATACGTATACACACACACACACACATTACCTGAATACTGCACTTAAGTATGAAACAGATTGTTGCCACTGGGTACTGTCCTCAATGTCCACTTTTATATTTGCATATGCTCTATCCCTGATATTGAGCACTTTAACCCATACCTTAAAACTATATTTTTGTCATATACACACACACACACACACACACACACAGATATGAACAGAATGGGAAAGAGAGAGAAGTGAACCAACTTAGATATAAATAGCTGTAAGAATATGGGAAAAAATGATATATAAATTTTTGCAGACCAGGAAATGACATCTAAATTCTTACACCGTTTTACCTTTCTTGGCAATGCTTCTATTATCACCATGTGGGATGCTTAATAACAAAAGTGATAAAAAATATAAACAACAAAAAAATATATACAAAAAAGTTAATTTGAAAGTTTAAAATTTCAATGCCCCTCGTTCCTTCATGTGCATGTATAGTTATATCAACATAAACATCATTTTAGTCAGATGAAGTCTTAAAGATCAAAATGTGTCACATTCATTTTTCTTCTATAAATGTATATAAAAACAGCGTTTTACATGAACAGACATAGGTAGATGTGGACAGAGATTAATAGATTCAAAAGACAGATAAGGATAGAGGGAAAAAATAGTTTGTTGAAATAGAGAAAATAAAAACAACATATAGACTTTGAAATGTGAACAGCCTGAAATAGATGAATAGATATGAACAGACTGAGAGGACATACATATATATATATATATATATATATATATAATCAAGTGTTTTGTAGATAACAGTGATTTGGTTGAAGCAATCAAATCAACAAAACTTGCTGCAGATAAGAGATTGAGAATAGAAATAATAAGTATCAAGGAAATGTTATATAAGGGAGAAATCTGTTTAATAACATGGGTGAAGTCTAATGATGTAATTTCTGTCTAACTAAACGAGGTTTCTCACCTTACTACATGATAGACTGCCTGAATAATAGAGAGATAAAAGAAAAATGTTTACTTTTAGAGAAGAAAGGGAATTAGATTTTTAACTATTGTTTATTGTACCTGGAATAACCAGTTATCTCCCCCCCTTCCCAACTTAATGGACCATTCCTATCAGCATTTGCAGAAGCAGGAGCATAGACTTGTTTCCCCCCTTCTTCATAGGGTGGATTGGGCCATTAGATACTATTTAAACTGCTGTGATTTCCCCATTGTCACTTTAACTTCACTTGCCTAGAGGAACTACTGACATTTGAAACCAGACCTGGACTCTTATCATAAACAGTTGTTGAAAATGTCCTCCGTTTGCTTCTACACACACATGCACCTGTCAGATAATTGACTGGTAGACACTTTCAAATACTCCCACATGATGCTGAATGGTTTCACAGGCCCCCATGACACATTGATGAAGTGTTTCTGTATTATTAATGTTTGTTGCATAAACCAGTTGTTTTAGATGGCCCTCACAGATAAAAACCCAAAGGATTAAAATCAGGGGAACATTCAGACCATGAAACCAGTCATCCACTATCTATCCATCTTTCATGGAAGATGTCAGCCATTGCATTGCAAACAATCTGGCTAAAATGTGCTGGAGCTCCTTCATGGGTGAACCACATGCATCTTCATATTAGCAGGAGTACATCCTCTAGCAGGTCTGGAAGTGTGTTCGAAATAATGTCCCTGTAGATAGTTTCTGTAAAGCGTGCTAGGAGAATATATGAATCTACCAGACAGTCACCTACATTCCACACATTAATTGCAAACTGATGCTGGTGTCTAGCCTGTATTTCACCATGGGATTCTGATTTGCCCACAAATGTTTGTTGTGTAAATTTGTTAATCCATCTCTTTCAAATGTTGCCTCTTTCATAAACAAGACTGAAGAGACAAACAACAGATTGGCAGTTTTTGCAATAAACCATCAGCAAAAGTTCTTTTGTGGTGAGTGTTCAGAGAGCAAAAGACCCTGCACATGTTGCAACTGATGGTTGCAGGAGTTGCTCTTGAGGCGCCCTCCCTGCAGTACTATGAAATATATGACATGATAAACAGCAGAAAAGGCTGGATGACTTGGCTGCCTTCAGACTGGAAATGCAAACTAATACAACTGTGCAACCTTGCATCCCTTACCATTCACATGGACGTATGTAAAATCATATCTGCCTGCTCACAATATAAATATTCTGGCATTGTTAAACAGAACATTTCTCAATTAACTCACTACTACACATGTTAAACATTGAAGACAGACTAACCAAAATGTACACAAATGACAAATGTAACCTAGTCTACATGGCAACACAGTGCCATCTACCATAAGCTTTCTTTAAACTTAATAACTAAAAAGCTCTAGGATTTGCGAACATGTTTATATGGACTTTTGTCCTCGTTTTGGTGTGAGGGAACCGCCCCTCCCCCCCAGTTTGTAAAATTATTTTTGATTCATCCTGTATATATAATTATGTTAATATATAATATGAAATTATGTTAATATAATTTTTGCTTCAGTAAACAAAGTGCTGCTTCAATTCTCTGAGAAAAATAAGATAAGAGATTTGACAACATCATATAATTTGGTTATTTGCAAAATACAGAAGTAATTTGACTCTTGCCCTAAAACTGTTGTTTTGTAGAGAAAACACGGAAAATCAATTTGCCAAATCCTTTCTTTTTTTTTTGCTGAGTTTTAGAAGGATTTTTCAAAGTGTGCATATATATATATATATGTGACAGTGCACAGAGATATACACACACACACACACACACACACACATTTTGAAAGAAAATTTTGGTATTTTTCTTACTCAGTTTTCTAAGTCTACCAAAAAATTATTCTGTGAACTTGAAAGGATCACAAGGAAAACTAATTGACATGATATGCCTAAATTATTTAACCAAACCTGTTTGAATGTATATATATATATATATATATATATATATATATATATATATATATATATATATATAACTGTAAGTGCAGCAACACTTTGTTGTGCATATATATTTACACACACACACACACACATCTTTTTGAATTTGTAGGTCTGATGAATTGGATCGTAATTACGGTTCCAATGTAATAAATCATAACCATGAAATATCAGTGTTTAAGCCTTTTTTATTATATTCTCACTCTGTTCACTGAGTTCTACCTGGATTCTATCCTCTTGGAAACCTTTATATGTATTTGCATGTATGTATATATGTTTATATATTTTATATGTGTGTGTGTGTGTATTAACCACTAATATTATCTATATATATATATATATATATATATATATATATATATATATATTCACTTTACCACTCCAATCAAGCTGATAATCACACTAAGGTGCTGCTGGGAGGGAAAGAGAATGAAAAGATTGTAGAAGGATTTTGAAACCCAGTCCTAAAGAAACAAGGGATAAACATCTACTCTTGTTCAAAGGACCAGGGAGGAGTGTCTATAGACCCCATATATATATATATATATATATATACACACACACACACACATACAGAGAGAGCGAGAGAGTTCTTTTATTAGAAGTAAAAATAGTAGATCACTGAAGCCTCATCCAGGTTTTTACAAGGGCTTGAGACCACGTCTCGGATTGGTCAGTAAATATGAAAAAAAATATTTTTCCACAAATTCAAAATGAATCTGTAGCAAATCACAAAATAATTTTGGAGTTTTTTTTCAACCACTAAATCTAAAAAATTTACAAAACTGTAACAATTTTTACAAACTGTCTGGCTTTTTTAAAAATACACTTATCTCAAAAGAAGATGTAAAAAAAAAAAAACAAACTAAACCATTAAATATTTATTTCTCACACTTTATCTAAAGACCAATTTACTTTTTACAGTAATAAGATATAAAATTTTTATAGCTCTAAAAGATAGTGGATTTTCTGCAACATTTGGTGTTGACTACAGTCTTCACTTTTACTCATAAATATGCATAACGTAAAATTATATTTTATCATATATATATATATATGTAGGATGAAATCTTCCTTAATCTTTGATGTTTGAGGGTCCAACAATTCAGCTCCTAGAAATGAACAGTCAGACATGAAAGCTTATGCAGAACAATTCACACTGTTTACATTATTCAAACTATTGTCCTCATGAGCTGACCAAGCATAGAAATGAATACAATATGAGAACCAGTAATAAGGAGTGGCAGAGAAAAGCTATAATAACAATGAAAAAATTGCAATATGAGCTCTAGTAAAAAACATGAAATGATAACAGCAAAAATTGTAATATGAGCACTGGTAAAAAAAATTAAGTTTATAAGTCCCAGAAATCCATATACAGATGTCCTTAAGGACACATAGCACAGTGGATGAAGGTGTTGGTTAGATCCAGTGACAGGACCCAAAAAGTTGTGAGGTTAAGACAGTGGAGAACTTGGAGAATGGAGAGGTGAATTAACTGATAAATGACATCCATTAGACATGGCATGTGGAACTAGAACAGTCTACCCCCAGCAACAGAAATAAAGGGTTCAGTTTGACATTCCAACCAACTGAAGAAGGCCAGAGCATACAACAGTTGAAACATTGTGATAAATATGGCAACAAAGATGAGGACAATAGTCTGAATGATGTAAAATAGTGTACATAATCACATTTCAGAAATATAGACAGCTACAGAAAAATTCCTACTTTTCAGGAGAACTGAATACAGAGAACTAGTGTACATAATGTGCCTTGATATCCCCAAACAATGTCCACTCAGGTTTTAAATTCAGTGTTTTCCTAGACTGATTGCTAGCCAAGGCTGAAGAGGTTTGTTTTGCTATTTAACCCATGGAAGCAGAAGAGATGGATCCACACCCTTCCAAGTGCCTAAGTGAATGTAACAAGTTCAAATAGAATTCAAACTTGGCTCTTCAATTTCTTAATCTAATTTGTTATCACATATTGCCTGCACACATATACAGGCATACATACATACATACATATATATATATATATATATATATATATATATATACACTACAGTACAAAAATTTAAGGCAACCAATAGTAATTTTTTTAAATTATCACAAAAAGTAGTTGTTTTGTGATTTTAGAAATAATTATTATATATGGTTAAAAAAGTGAGACATGATTTTTTTTATTAGAAATTTTATTATGACAAAAAGAAAAAAGCATTTTATGATTAAATTTTGCTCTCATCAAAATATCCTTCATCAGTCTCATCAGCACAAATTTTTGTCATTCATTGCAAAAGTTTCTCAAAGTATAATTTTGATAATTGATTTCATTCTTTTTTCAATGACTCTGAGAGCTCTTTTTAATTTTTTGGATGGAAAGGTTTCAATCTTCAGTCACATTCAACCCATGCTAATTCTGGGTGTGTCTTCAAACTTTTGAACTGTAGTGTGTGTGCATGTTCATAAGTTTCAAGTTATCATCTTCAAATGACTAGAATGTTTTAATCACCTGAAGATCGCCAGAGAGCATGAAACTTGAGTAGCAACTCTAGCTGTCCTTCATTGAGTGTTGATGTTGTGAAGCATTTTCTGGTTGGGGGGTGGGGGGCTGTCTAGATATTCTAGGTGTTGAGCACTTTAATTTACTGCATTGGTCTTTTTTTTCTTTTTATTTACTTGTTTTATCTAAGTTATTTGGTTTTTGGCAAGTTGTGAGTTGGTCACACAGATGTATGTATATATATGTATGTATATATATTTTGTTTGCATGCAAGTTGACTTCTTTCCTGTCTTTTAGAAATAAAATAAGAATCATTTAAAGCAAAAATAAATTGTTCCGAAAAGCAAGTTAAAAGGTGACATTGATATTACAGATCTGCAAAACAGTTTTTCATGTTTTGGTCACAGCAATTTCCCAAATGGTCCCACAAAATCAATATCATTGAATAACAACATCATGACTATTTTTTGATGTCATACCAAGATTAATATTTTATGGTTGCTTTGCAAAAACAAAAAAAAAAACCACAAAAAAGTCGCTATTTTCATTTTTCCATTGTATTTATCAATTCTTTTACAGTATTCAGAAGAGTATAACATTTATTGAAGCCTGAATACATACATTTCTTGTCTGTATATCTGCTGGTGTTGGGGAGCTCTCCATTTACAGTCATTTAGAATCACCATTGTACTTCATGTACCTGATACTGTGAAAAAAGGCCCCTCCAGTAAGTTCATTAATGAACAATTTCTATTGCCTGTTAGCTTTTAACTTTAAGTTTTCCTTTGTTTTGACAGAAAATACCTGGTTA